TGAGACCAGTTCCACAGGTGCTTCCACAACTGCATACAAGAACAAGCAAAGAGTGTTTTACCCTTCTTGCTTCCTGACTCAAATCTTATCTGTGGAAGCCTCTTGGCACTCATGCATGGGTAACAGGGAAGTACAGGAGTCAATTAATGCTCAGTGGGGCAATCCTTGACTAATTGGGAATGGGAGATGTTGAATAAATGACCCAGAGAGACTAAGAAAAAGAAGGCTGAGGACCAAGCCCCAAAGAACATCAACTTGTAGAAAACAATTTAGGAATTTAAAGATTTAGAGATGGGTCCAGAAAGAGAACTCTGCTAGGAAAGGGTACAGGGATCCAAAGAAAGAACATTGACATCTTAGAAGGCAGAGGAAGAGAGTTTTCCTAGGATGAGAAGGAACCAACACTGTTAAATGCTGCGGAAGGTCAAATAAGACAATAAATGAGAAGCATGCATTGGAATGAAAAACATAAAGACATTAGTGACCTGTATCAGATGAGTGTCACTGCAGCAGTGGGAGAGTAGCCACATTATAGGGATTGAGAAAAGATTGGGAGGTAAAGAAGTAAGGACAATGTATTAGTTTTTTATTGCTGTAGTAACAAATTATAACAAACTCAGCAGTTTAAAACAACAACACACTTATTATCTTATTGTTTTGTAGGTTCTTACTGGGCTAAAATCAAAGTGTTAGCAGGACTGCGTTCCTTCAGGAGGTTCTGGAGGACCCTTTCCAGGTTCTGGAGGCAACCCACGATCCTTAACTTACGGCCCCTTCCTCCATTTTCAAAGTCAGTAATGTTGCATCTCTCTGACCATTCCTCCAGTCACATCTCCCTCTGAAATCATACCTGAAAAGCTTCTCTGCTTTTAACGGTTCATGTGCTTATACTGCCCACCCCCAACTCCCATATAATTCAGAAAAATCTCTCCTTTCTCCAGTTCCCTAACTTAGTCATATCAGCAGGTAATTGCCTTTTGCCATGTAAAGTGACATTTATAGTTCTGGGGCTGAAGATGCAAATATCTTTGGGGTGCCATTATTCTGCCTGTCACAGACAATGAGTAGAACTCTTCCGAATTTTTTCCAGGAAGAAGAGTAATGTAATAGCTTGAAGTAATAGCTTGAAGTAATAGCTTGAAGGCATGTGTGGTTGCAGATTTTTTAAGGAAGTGATGGGGAGCGAAGGCTTAGAAGGCAGATGGACACTGGAAGGATGATATTCTTCAGAGACAACTCACAGACAAAAATTGGCTGTTTATTTTACTGCGATGATTGTAGATTAAGTTTTCTTAATGAGAAAGTGATTATCCATTACATGTTAGATGATGGCTATGATGATGATTTGGTCTAAAGCTAGTCTGATCTGAAAATGATTGCATCTTTAAGAACTTTAGATTCTTGCTAAAGTAATACTATCCAAACATTGATTTAGTTTGCCATAAAACATTGTATTAGAGAATAAAATATGGTTTATGAAAACTGCATTTCATGCTTTAAGCAATACGTATTCTAAACTTGTTATACTGGCATGGTAGAATTAATTACACGCTCTAGAACATCCTGTGCTTGTTATGAGTAAATTTCCAAAAAAATTAAGTGGAAGTAACCAGGGGATTAAGCATGAACTGTAAACAAAATTAATAAATATTTTTAGAATGACTTATTGTCCAAGAGTCTTAAACACGTATTAATATAGTTCCAATGTGTCTATGATAGTCTTCTCTATATAATTATATGTATATGATATATAATCATATATACACATATATGTATACTTACATATATAAACATATATGATATCATATATAAAATATGTATGGAAATATATACATTTGTGTGTGTGTGTGTGTGTGTGTGTATGATCTAGAGTTGTCTATCATAGGCCAGAATAGTAAACAAAATGACAGAATCAGTTTTACTGTATAAAGAGCTTTACTGTATAATTTACTGATAAAGAGCTGACTCTTAGAGTTCCCTATTTAGCCAGACAGCCATGTAACAAAGCAACCTTCTATTTTTTTCTGTGCTATATCTTTTCCTGAAGTTTAGCATCAAATTTGATCTAGTGAAATGGCAGAAAGGCCAAAATGACCTCTATCTGAAATATGACCAAGGAGTTCTCTTTTTCTAAAAAGGCAGCTTTGTATTTTTTAGGCTTTTAGTGTCGGAGTAGCCCTTCTCTGGGCCTGACCAAAGGAAGCTTACTGTGCCCTGTGCTTTGACTCTTTGAACCTTATGATAACATATTATCATCATTATTTTCTTTTTGGAGACAAGGTCTTGCTCTGTCACCCAGGCTGAAGTGCAGTGGTGTGATCATAGTTCACTGTGGTCTTGATCTCCTGGGCACAAGTGATTCTCCAGCCTTAACCTCCCATATGATAATGGATTCTAACCACATCAAGTTCATGCATATGGAATACATTCAATGGCTGAGCTAGTTTCCTACTCAGTCTCTCCTCTATTTTCTTTTCTCCCATCTCCTTTTCACTGGATGCTTCAACCTCATTAGTATTTGAGGAAAAAAACTGGATCCTGTCCATCATTTTGGTTGTTGCTTTCCTTTTCCTGGCAGACAAGGCCTAAAGTTTCAATAGAGGAAGTGGGGAGGGATATAGCACATTCAGAGTTTATGAAAGACCTTATTTACCATCAAAGTGAAGGTTTCCAGATACTCCAGCCCTGTTTTCTTATGCTCTTAGGTCTTTGATGAGGAATTAAGAACTCTAGCCAGCACAACAGAAGACATTGAGAACTGGTTGGCAGAAAGCACTACATGGTGTCCTGAGGTTGTTCATTAATTATAAATGATCTTGAGGAGTAGACCAAGGAGTAGAAGTGTGTTCGGAAACTTTAAATATCTTAAGAATTCCTACACAAGCACTTCCGAGAGACATTTGAATTTACACAGTTAAAAATGAATATTTTTCTGCTAGCTTCCATCACACTAGTTTTTGTTTTTGTTTTTTTGCAAAGCATTCATTGCATCTTACCTTTTAAACAGAGTTACATGTCACTTTCACCCTCTTCCTGACTTAATTGTAAGTCTTTAGGTGGTGTTCTCAAATGTTAGTGAGTTTAAGAACAATCTGAGGACCTTGATAAGAGAATTTAGGGCAGACATCTCTGGGATTCTCATTCAACAAATTTGTGGGATCCAGTAACAAGACCTGAGGTGATTGTAATTCAATGGTCTGTGAGCCACCTTGAGAAATATGTGTCTGCAGATCAGGGTCTCTGTGGCTCTTGGGCCTTCCCACTATGCAGTGATCGTAGAGCTCCTCAGTGCATGTTCGTGGAATTGAGGTAAATGATTTGGACGGGTAAAATCCCATTAATGATTCAAACTCAAGTGTTCTGCTTTCAGAGATGAGCCTGCGGCCCTAACGGGCTGTCCATAGACTAATTTTTTGATAGAAGGAAATTGTATAAGCAGTTTTTTACTGGGGACAATTAGTACAAGAGATTCTATTTTATCTAGGAGAACTGATAGAAAGTTGCTTTATTTACTTGCTTTCTTCCCTAGGGAAAGGTGCAGACCTGGGAAGGAAGAAATGCTGCCCGTAGTACATGGGGAGAAGGTTCAGTCATGCTTGCGTTTCCCATTCATTTCTGGTTGTGCGCTTCCTATGTCTTCTGCTTCTTTTGTTTATTGTTTACTAGGTGCTGTGAGGTTTGCTCTTTAATGTGCTTTGCCCTTTGTTCTTCTGCCATAGGGTGTGAAGCCATCTAGGTTGTTTGCCCTTTGCTCTTGGTTACCTTTAAATAGTCATTTGTAAAAGAAAGAGGAAAATCACATCTTATCCACCAGCTTTGTGTACATCATTCGAAAATTTTATCTTTAATATACAAAGAAAGTACGATCCTTCTTTGCGTGGTTACAGTGGGGAATGGTCACACCATGCTCTGGAAAGACATCACCTGGAAAACCAATAGGTAATTATTTTAATGTAAATATAGTGAAAAGCATCTTTATGTTTTAGAGTTTTGCTAATGTTTTCGGTGACTGCAACAAATTAACATACCACTTTCTTGCATCGACACTATTCACTCTTCAGTTTATTTAAATGCCATTAGTTTTAGATTGTTTTAAGTTGATCTGTGGAAATTATAGGTGGATAATACCAATTCAAAAAAATATATAAATTGTTTTGTCTGTTAAATGTATTGGAAATATTTAAGGCTTAGTTTCCAAGTGAGAAAAGGCAATAAGCTTTAACTTTAAGATCAAGCATGTTCTGTGTGTCTATCTTCAAAACCTAAGATTATTTCCGTTATCTACCTAGCTTTCTATCTTCTGATGAGCATCCAACAACAGCTTATCTTTTCAATTAGTGACACCGTCTTAAATCACAGCAGCTCTTAGAAACAAACCTGGCACAAATACCCTCGCCTCTCAATGAATTTACATACTATGTTGATGTTGAAAAAAGTTATAGACATAGAAAACAGCACAGTACAAGGGTGACGCTTATTTTATCTGGGGTTTATTGCATGGGCAGAGGCTGTCATTTTCCCATAGTGTCTTCACTTATTATGCTAATTGACTTTCCAAGCTCAGACTGGAGGGTGTCTGCCCTGTGAACTATTCTCAGTTGGAGGGTTTTAAAAGCAAACCTGTTTTGTGCTTGAATGAAACCAAAAATCAATGTGTTTCTTTTCAAAGACGGGAGGGTCAATACCGTGGTTGTTTTTGTTCCCATCCAGTTATGTAACCGTGGGGACTTGTTTCTTTGCTTTCAGGATTCGTACAAAACACATTAAAGTTAAATAATAGTGGAGTCTCAGGAGTAACCCTCGAGTTGTGCCTTGGAGTGTGTGTCCCTGGGACTGGGAACCTCCTGTGAGTTCCATCTCAAGTGCTGCTGCTGCTGCTGCTGCTGTGTGTGTGTGTGTGTGTGTGTGTGTGCGCGCGCGCGCGCGTGTGATTAGCCAGCACGCAGCACTTCCCCAGGGTTGTGTTTCCTTTTTCCTGAGATTTGGCGAAGGGTAAAGGGTCGGAGTCACATGGATACAAAGCTTTTGATTAATGTCCAAGTCACTGCTGTGGCTGCCGAAGTCGCTTCCCCTCCAGTCCCGGCCGTGTGAGGCCAGAGCAGCGGGACCGGGCGCGCAGGGCCTGGCCGGAGCCCCAACTCCCAGGAATTTTCTCTGCCCCAGCTCGATCCCCTCCTCTCCCTGCGCCCAGGCTCTCCCCAGCATGTAAAGTCGTCTGTCCCTCCTCGGAGTTGGCGGAGGCGGCAACTTTCCATTCTCGCCGCCGGGGGCCGGGCAGCAGCGAGCGCGCGGGTCAGCGCTCAGCACGGCGGGCAGCGCCGCGCACCGCCGCCGACCATGAGCGAGGACAGCCGCGGGGACGGCCGCGCCGAGAGCGCCAAGGACCTGGAGAAGCAGCTTCGCCTGCGCGTGTGCGTGCTCAGCGAGCTCCAGAAGACCGAGCGGGACTATGTGGGCACACTGGAGTTCCTGGTGTCGGTAAGTGTCCCCGGCAGACGCTGGAGGACCTCGGGGCGGCGCGGGGCGCGGGTCCCGGAGTGGCTGCGGGAAGCGCGCGCGGCATTGTCTGTGCGGGGACCAGGGACCGGTCGGGGCATCGCAAGCGCGGGAATCGGCGTGTGGACGCTGCGTTCGCGGGGGCGGTGACCCTCGCGGGGATTTGTTGGTGCCCCGAGACTCACTGAGTTGCGGGGGCCTTGGAGAGCTCCAGGTCTGAAAAGTTAGCTCTAGAGAAGAGAGCTCCAGTCCAGGGAATCCCGGCTGCCCCATCTTCCCTCACTTTTCTTTTACCCTCCTCCCCAGTCTGCTCAAGTGCACTGTGTAATTGATTTTCCTTCTTGTTCTTTCCTGGAGACTTTGTTTTAAAGCTTTGGTTTAGTGATTAAAGATCCAGTCGGCTACATTCAGGTACACTAAGTTAAAAAATGTCCTTGAATGTGCTCGAGGTTGAGTTCGTTACTCAGATAACATGGCAGTGGCCGCTTTAGTTATGGTCTTTGAAACAGAGGATTCTGGTGTGGGGGTACAGGGAGAGCAGCGGGGTGATGATCTCTAGCAGCTGTTGGATATTAAAGCCACATGTGGTGCTCACCCCGTCCTAGTCCTATAGTCTCCTCCCCACTGGCTTAAATCTGTCTTCTGCTCAGTTTCTGGTCCCCTGTTTACATGGCCCATGGGAGTGCTGTAATCAAGCTTCAGGACTTCGTGGAACTGGGAATGTACTTACTTTCCACGTTTCTGCTTGACTCACTGCCATCTGCTTTGAAAACGTTTCATTCATTTTAGGGCCGAAGGGGCAAAACTGAGTGAAAGTAACTGCTGAGATAACACTCAAAAGTTGAATTTTTCCTATTCACTGCTGAAAAGACAAAGAATTTGAGCCTTGGCTTCTTTCCACCCAGATTCCTGGGAGAGCATCATTCAAAGAACCGGGAGCTTTAGTTTTTGTGATCTCATCCAAATCCTTCTTCCAACAACCAATTCCATGCCCCCTTGGTCTGAAGGAAAATATTTCAGGTGCCAGACTTCCTGCTTAGTGTTCTGAAATCTGTCAACTTTCTGCTTATAATCATGACAGATAAAATTCCCTTCTTGGCTGTGGCAAGAAGGAAAGAACAATGTCTCAAGTGATGTAAAATGTACAGATTGGGTTATGGGTGACTTCTCAAAATTAATATACTTGACTTCTAGGGGCCACATTCTCTGCAAATGTACAAGTATTTGAGAATATCCTGGTAACTGGAGATTTATAGAATTATTATATACTTCCTTGTAACGAAGATTGTCAAAAATGGATGTTTTTAAGATTTGATTTTTAATAGCTTTAAATTTGGCTTTCATGAAACTTTTTTGGTAACAAAGTTCTTTGTCTTTTGAAGAATCTGAGTCATTTCTTACATAATTACTCTTTTCTGAAGATCTGTGTACAAAGTACTGTGCAGAATACTTTGCAGAAATAGACAGTTAATCTAATTATATTAAAAACTTAATTTGTTGATCTTTATTTAAAATATCAGTTTTTCTTCTAATCTTAAACCTGATCATTACAACAGAAAACTTACTATTAGTATATAGAGTTAGGTAAGAAAGTATGGAAAGTATAAAATAAATTTTCCCGTTCTATAAGGAGAACATCATTTCATGGTTTCTTTTTATCTCTTTCAGAATCTGTGGGCTCTTCCACTTTTGTTTTCTTTGTGCATCATTTGTGCCTGTTTATGTTTATACGCACAAATGCACTAATTAGTCTGAATGTCATCCTAAATAAAAGTTTACTCTGGCTTACAAAGCCTAAGATCTATTTATAATATATTATTAGATTTTCTTTTTAGGGTGTTATTTATAGCAACATTTACACCCCATAGAGTTTTCTTGGTTACCTGAAGTTGATGTAGTCACTCTGGTTTTGATATTAGACTATGCTAATGTGTACCAAGAGCTTTTAAGCTATTCAAACCCTTTGGCCTGGTAATTCCTCTTCTAGGAACCAGTCCTAAGGGAATGATCAGAGATGGAAACAAACAATAGAAGTTAGTTTTAAAAGTTAGCCATAGTATTAAATAAGTCGAGTGGTAAATTTGTTGCCAAAAATTGATAGTTTACTCCTAAGTCAAATTAAATATTTGTTAGATTAGTCATTTCTATTAAATTTCTACTAAAAATACAAAAAATTAGCTGGGCGTGGTGGTGAACATGTTTAATTCTAGTTACTCAGGAGGCTGAGGCAGGAGAATCGCTTGAACCCGGGAGGTGGAGGTTGCAGTGAGCCGAGATCGTACCATGGCACTCCAGCCTGGGCGACAGAGCAAGACTCTGTCTCAAGAAAAAAAAAAAAAAGAAAGAAATCATATGGCTAGAGGGAAACGCTTTTCTAAAATCTTTCCTATTTCTGAGCCCTCTCTCGCCTCAATTCCCACACTTTGGCCTTTAAGGAAAGAGCATCTTACCCCACTGCCATCCCCAAAACAGCCTTTTGAGGCTGTTGCCTTTCTTCTCTATGCCATGGTATTTGTCTCTCTGCATCTTCTGTGTAGTTGCCCCCAGGCACACACTGCTGTTTGAACAAAGCTCTGTGCCTTCACCTGACTACTCTTTCCATGGTGGGCTGTGCTTCCTCAGCACAGCCTTTGTTCTTCCTGGGGCCTTCCTTTTGTACCTTGTGGATTCCTTTCAGGGCTCAGTTAGCCCCTTCTTCCCAGGTGCTCCTTGCTTATATCCACTTTACCCTGCATTTCCTTCTTCCATAGTACCCAAAGTCATTGATTTTTGTTTACTTTGGTTTCATTCTGTTAGACCTCCTTGAGGACAGGGACCCAGAGTCATTGATTTTTGTTTACTTTGGTCTCATTCTGTTAGACCTCCTTGAGGACAGGGACCCAGAGTCATTGATTTTTGTTTACTTTGGTCTCATTCTGTTAGACCTCCTTGAGGACAGGGACATACCACCTTGTCTGCCTGTGCTTTCCATAATTGTGTGCAGTGCTTGTGACATTGTAGGTACTCAATACATGCTTGTTGAGTGCATGCATGAATCAGTGAGTTGACCCACCCTCTCTCCTCCCACTCCATTTTTAAGGATAGTGCCTCAATTATCCTGAACATTTTGATTTCCTATTTTCTTCCATTTGGTCTAAATAGACAGTAGAATTTTCAGTTTTGCTCAGGCACATATGGATTTATGCAGCAAAAAATTTCAAATTAAACATGTAGTACTTGCCTTTAAAACAGAAACATGATTTAAATCAGGTATTGAGGTATTAAAGACTTTGCATGCACTATTGTTTCATATATTTTAAATTTTTGTTTGAGATCATGGATAGGTTATTTTTAGGTCACAGATAAAATGTTAGAGAGTGATCTAATTTGCTTGAATTTATGTTCTTGTTTTGCTTGGGAAATGAAATTTTTTGCTTTGTTAAAAATATTTCTTCTAAATAAATGATTATATGAACCTAACATCCAGTATTTAACATCCAAAGTCTGGACAATAGTCAGTTACAACCTGTTTCCTGTTTGCAAACCTGTGACAGAGCCTGCCGAGATGACAGACTCATGTGAGTGGACAGAGAAAAGGAAGACCCAGGGCTGGCTTCATCGATGCACATCCTGTGCAGTGGCCCACGGTTCTGAGCTGAGAAGGATGCCCAGCTTGTTTTAATGCTCTACTATTGCCATCTTGAAATTCTTGCCAATTTTATCTTTGACCTTGTGTTTTGCAAATGAAGTCTGATGGGACAATGGACATGAGCAGAGCAGACACATGAAAGAAAAAAGCGTTATATTTCAGTACCTTTAATAGCATTCCCCAACAGCCCCCTGCTTTTTGAACAAGAGACCTCACATTTTTATTTTGCACTGGGCCTGGAAAATTGTGTAGGCCAGTTACATTGTGGGTCAGTGGCATTGAGGCAGGATGACCATATAATTTACTGTCTAAACTGGGACACTTCTGAGAGTGAAAGGGAGTGCTATTAGTAATTACACTGGGAAACAGATGGAAACTGGGATTGTTCCTGGCAAACCAGAATGCATGGCTAGTCCACATTGTGGGCATATTAAAACAATGACTTCAAGCTATGTGTCTTGTCATAAACCGAATATTTTCAAATGTGTTGCCTGTCCAGGCTTTGACCTTGGATACCTTAGCATTTGAGTCCCATCTCTAATTTGCTTTGTGATTTTAAACACATTCCTAATTTTTCATGCTGCTTTTTCTTCATTTGTAAAATGGAGAATAGCATTTCTCAGGGGTGTTGTAAGAATGATATGATATATGCATTGGGCTTGGCCCATCTGGCTCAGGAGAGGGTCCTATAAGTAGTTACTGTTATTTTGCTGATGTTACAGTTGTTATAAAGAGCCATGCTTATGGTTATCATTAGATATAATTTTTGTTTCTGTTATATTCCTTCTCTACCTTTTCTGTATGTCCCCAATTCTCTTCGTTTCCTCCTTCCTTGTTTTCCTTCTGTTAGTGTAGTCTTTTTAATGATATTCTTATAAATGCTCATTAGTTGATTTTAAGACAGTGAGAAAACTTTATATTCCAGGTAACAACAACCACAGTTGGAGTTTAAACGGTTGCATCCTCACTCTCTTATTCAGCTTAATATATGCGTGTCTCTTAGCTCTTTCAAACTGTGCTCCCTGGAGCTCCAGAGGCCCTTGCAAGGGCTGCTGGAGAGCTAGATTTTATGGCTTCAGGCGTGCCACCCTAGCTTCTCTGTGCATGGCTCCACCTTTCTCAGATTTGAGATTTCGTAAAAGCAGTTAGAAAAAACATTTGTCTAAATGGCAAATTCCCAGAGAAAAGGGGATTTGCATTTACTTCCTATGTATGCTTTTCTTGGCCTAAACACAGTGCTTTGTAAATAGCAGGTGCTCAAGAAAACAGACAAACAGGCAAACAAAGCAAAAGCAAACAAAGCAGAGTTTGAATGCATCTGAAATCAAACTCTTTAAGTCATGACCTGACTCTT